TATAGTTGTATGTCAACACAGATTTTTTTATAAACACCTTCATAAACGATGTGAGATACAAACAATCGATATGAGTGTTCCAACGTGTTACGTGTTGTATAACGAAAAAGTTTCGAAAACTTCATTACCATTATCTTTTTTTCTCAACAACAACCGGTCGCGTCGTTTATATCGTTATTTAATACGTCGTATTGCACTTCTACCGGATATTTTCACACGGTAGTCATTCGAAGTAACTAATTATATTAATGTAAACAACTTTTGATCCACACGATTAGACTTCATTACATAATGCGTGACTTGATCGTTTCTATTGAAGTTTTCGTCTATTTTTGTTTGAAGAGGGTAACGAACACGCAAACCTGAATGTATAAACATCCTAACAATCGTTGGACACGATTTGTTATAATTGAAATAAAATCAAATGTTTTGTAATGCATTCGTTTTTTCGGTTGGTAACGCCGATTTTCATAAACAAAAACATTTACTCGTTCATGTAATCAAACGTGTATTCAATTATTATACATGCATATGTATATAATTGTATACACATTATCAGAGATGGAACTAGGAATTTTTACGCCCAGGTAAAATGTTAAAATGACGCCCTATCCATAGACTAATAAACAAATACTCAAATAAATTGTGTTCTTATAATCAATATACAATCGTACTTATTGAGTTTTAACCTAATATCAGTATTTAACGAAGTTAAAAATATCAAATTAGTTGTTAATAATTACGAAAATTACACCCTCTAAAATGTTACGCCCGGGGATAAATCCCCGACTTCCCCCCCCCAGATCCGGCCCTACACATTATATTCTAGAGTAGGGATTGGTAGTTCAAAATAACTAGAAAGCCAATTTATAGATCTTCAAATCCGGTGGGCCAGCAAAATAAGATAAAAATATGACGTTAAGAATTAGAACAGGAAGGCCCCCAACGGTGCCACCTGATAAGTTATAGCTACCATTACTATGCTTTTAGCAGGTCCATAGGTTATTGCCTTTTTAACCTTTTGGGCATGAAAGTGACAGAAGATAGAATTTTAACTAATGGATTGGAATGAGAGTAGAGCTTTGAATAGAATTTGATATAATAGGAATAATTTGGCCAGTTCGTAGAGTGTTGGTAGATTTAGGTCTTTGTGGAAATTTTTGTTGGTTACATATCAAGGGGCAGACGTTGTTAAGCGGAGTCAAATAGATTGAAATGCTTGCAGGGTTTTGGTGTTTGACGGCTAAGGTGAAACCCAAAGTTGGATGTTGTTAAGCCAAACCGGAAGAATTATCGATTTGTATATTGTAAGTTTATAAGTTAAGGAGATTTTTTATTTCAAAAGGAGTTTCCGCAGATGCGGTATAAACTAACTTATTTTCGCTTTAGTTTTAGGTATGAGCCCCATGTAAGACGTTTATCAAATGTTCACCCTAAGTACTTAACCTCATTTATTGAAGTTAGGACTAGATTGTTGAACGTGACTGGAGGGCAGTCAGAATTACGTAGTGTGAACGTTACACGAGTGGATTTTGAATCTTATAATTTATTTTTCATCGATTTACCCATAAGTTTATCATATTTCAGTGATTTTGAATTCTCCGTCTAGTGACTTCCGGATCATGGAGTGAAGTCGATATTATAGTATCGTCAGTGTATGTGCCAAGAAAAGTGTAGAATGTGTTTGGGATGTCATGAGTGAACACAGAGTATAGAAAGGAGACGATATCGCTTTCTTGTAGGACACCTACTTTGTTTTGATAGCAATTAGAATAGCTTTTTTTTGAGGAAAACCGTGAAGAAGTGGTGTGATAAGTAAGGTTTCAACAGTAGAACTTTTTTAGTTTAAAGAGAAATCCGTCATGCCAAATCCGGTCAATGGCCTATAAGACGTCGAGAAAGATAGTGGGACAGAATTATTTTTTTTTTCCAAAGCGTTAGAACTATGATTGACGGTGCATGTATTACACTTTGAAATTCGAATGATGCGATTTGTTAAAATTTTAAAAACTGTTTTAATTAGACATCCACTGTAAACGCAGTTAGAAATATATATTACATAATAGGCATTATATTAGCTACGCAATAATTCGATAACCAAAACGAGCAGTCGCAATAATAATAATGATAATAATAGTAGTAGTAGTAGTAGTAGTAGTAGTAGTAGTAGTAGTAGTA